TCCCTACAATGGAGGGTGTGTTGAGCATGTATGTCATAGTTTGGAGTATGGATTTATGCTTCAAACTTATCTTACCAAAGTGGAGAAATGTTCAGTAATATACAGTATGCAATACCTTAAAGGGTGAGTACTAAATAAACGCACATGCATTTGTGATGTCCTATGTCCATTAAAATTAAATTGTGTTATTGCTATCAGTTAGTAAACAGTTATGGCTAGGTCGGTTTGCTTTTTAGGGTTAGTGACATATGCCATTGACATGATAGTTAATGTACATTTATATCCCATCTAACACCAAGACCACAACCAGTCCTACTCCATCCAAACCACATCTTAAATTTCCTTGTGAAACTTGATTTCAAGTACACTGTGAGCCTCACTGTGCATCTCACGCTCACAGTCACATTGCTTTGCTTTCACTGTAAACATTCACTGAGGCTTCTCCTTTCTCCCAGGTAATCATCTCTCAACAGAATTCAGTAATGAGGCCAGAATGGCCAAAGCCACGTTCCATCAAAGGGACCAACTAAAATGATTTCCTTCTTCTCCTAACAGCTTTGCAGTGTTTATATGAAAAGACATGGTAACAATAAGACTTACCACCACGATGTAGCGAGGTCTGTACTGAATGGTTCCAAACAGACCCAATATGACGACTATTATATGTAGAAAATTTCCAAGGATGGGCGCCCATTGGAAGCCGAGGAAGTCAAAGATCTGCCTCTCTAATGCTGAGAGCTGCAACAAAGCAGAGAGAGCCCATGAGCATCTAACCCAAGCCCCAGCAGACCATTTTAATCTTGGTTTCACAGCTGGAGAAGGCTGCAGTCAATCTGAATTCGCACTTATGGACGCCATCATCGCTACCACTGTGGTGCCCATTTCACGTACTGCTTTATGCAACTTCTCTCAGAAAATATACTAAGATAACTTTGAGTATTATGACTTCAAGTGTTCATAGACTTGGAGAGCTAGAGATATACTCCTGAAATCATTTTCTATAGTAGCAAATCCAGGCAACATTTTATGATACCATATTTTATCATATTAACTTATCATTATTTTTAGTAAATTATTGGCTTAGTACAACCTACTCAGAACAGTAACTCCAGGCTTGCAATGCTAGGACTATTATTATTTTGGAAAAAACCAAAAACAATAACAAAAGCTATCCATCTGTGCCTTCCTGTGTGAAATATGAATTATCAAATCTTCTGTTCTTCTTTTTTCCTTTCTTTAGATTGTCATTGATTATAATGACTAACCACTTTTTCAAAATGAAGCTTATTTATTTACTCTGGGCTTACTTTTACTTACTTACATTAATGATAATAACTCCTTCTTCAAAATGAGCTTACTTATTTACTGTAGTCCCGATCTAAAACTAGAGTTACATAGTTCCTTTGAATGATATTTTATTGAGATAATATATTAAATGAATTTTATATAGTCCAGTGAATGCCAACAATGTCATTACCATGTACAAATGATATTTATTGCATTTTATATCTAAAAATTTTATAATTCTGCCTGCTGTGTTTGGACACAAATCTTACACGTTTCAAGCATTTTTCTACATTTACTTTGATAAAATAATATTTCTAAGAAAATGATCCCACGATCAACCATACTGCCAGCAAAAGAAACTGCAGATTTGAAAGGAAAATGGTACCCTAGGTATTTTTCTAGTTATGTGGCAGGTGTATGCCTGAATAGCTTTAATTTCCTTGGACATAAAGAAATGTCCTCTATCCAGTAAGCTGAATTTACCTTGGTTTAGATTCACCTTCAGTAAGCTGTGGAGGTAGAAGAGAAACGAGCAAATACCTAAAGACACCCACTCCGAACCACATTCATTTCATGGGTATTTCCTGATCATCAAGTGATTTGTCACCATTCCCTGCCTCATAAAGTGGAAGATGCACAGAAACGGCTAAAACACAAAATAATCAGAGCAAGGTAAGAAGCAGCACAGTGTTTTCAACCCCGTTTCTCTCTGCTCGTGACTCTAATTAGTTCCCAGGAACCTTTCCCTAAAAGCGCAGCATTTTATTTATTGGCCCATCAGTGATGTACATATGCAGTTTTTTATGTCCAACAGGATGGATGTGCTCAGAAAAAAACAAAAAAATCCTGAAGAGCAGCTGCGGGCAATTCATCCTGAAAAGCAACCCTATTTTAAAGCTGTTGTGCATCACAAAAACCTTTAAAGTGAACTTTTCAAAGAGAGAAAACCCCATTTTCTTTTCTGTCAGAAGATGCATGGATAGCATTCTCCTTTATGATATTAAAGAAAACACACACAATGAAAGGGAAGCCGAATTAACACCACTGATTAGAAAATCTGCATTCTTTATTGGAGACACCCCATCTCTCTACTTATTGATATTCATTTTCTGATAACTTAAAATGGATTTATAGTGACTTGAAATAAAAGCACAAATAAAAGGCCATAAAGAAACAACAAACAGACGGGGAAGAGACCATATCAAGGGTCAGGCAAGAGGCAGCTAAAACAACTATACAAACCATGAAAGCTAGATTTGAGTACTGTATTTTAAAAAGTCAGCTAACAATGACAAAAGGCCCTTCAAAAATAAACAAATTACCATTGCATTTGGTATTAATTACTTTATCTAATTTCCACTTTCAGCTATTAAGTCATTTAGTTTAGAGGCAAATATATTCTCTCTCAATGTCATCATTAGCAATACCACTTTTTGCATTAGAGCTTGATATTAATAATGATGACCTAGAGCCACAGAATGAAATTAAATAATATCCAGGTTGCTTTGTTAACTCAAAAAAAAAGCATGAATATATTTTAAAAACATCTCTGTCAAAATGGTCTCATCAGTGATGTGCTCAAGCTGCTGCGGCTAGCCGGGGAACATGGATCCGGTACATCTCTTTCCAACTCCACAGTCAGTGACGTCAAGTTTTGGGAACTTGACATTGGCCACTGTATTTATGACATGGATATCAGGAAACGCTAAAAAAACCCAAGGTCTTGTTTATTTGTTATGAGAGCCTATGGTAAAATATTTATCTCTACACCACTGAATATGGCACCTAGAAAATAGTGGTTCTAATTCAGGAGAGCAGTGAAAGGCGGAGTGATCAAATGTGTGATGCAGCATCAAAAGGAAACATCTGGTCCAGATGAAAGCAGAGGCTGGAGGGCTCTGCGGAGACGCCATAGCAAAGAAGAGAATGAAGGAGACATTGGGAGAACTTGAGGTTTAAATAAAGGGAGAGAGTTCAAGAAAACAAAAAGGCAAGGAGACACTCAGAGAAAGCAAAATTAACCTGTCACCAGTTTAAAACAGAACAGGAAGCAGTGGCCTAAAGAACAATAGGATGATTTCTAAGTAAAAGGTCAAGTAGGTAGGACTCTGGGAGTTATAAAAATATGATGGAAAAGAATATGTATCTTTTCCTAACAAGTTAAAAATGAAGGCAACCAGAATCTTAATAAAAAGGAAGAGTAGGAGGGAGAAGAAGGAAGGAAGGGAGGGAGGGAGGGAGGGAGG